ATCAGTCTGATAAAAAATCTCAGTGGACGTTATTATGAGATCATTATCATCGTATGTTAATTATGGAATGTATTTCTACCACAGGAAAGACTTGCAGGGATGCTGTAGATAAGGTAAAATAAAGATTTTGAGTAAGTTAGCGACAAATTTGAGTATCACATGTAGCGGTTTTTCCTCGATCTAGAAATATCAATTTGCTTCTTTTTAATTTATCTTGTTTAAGTGGTCCGTGATCAATAAAATAAAATATTTGTGTGTATCCATCAATCAGCTTTTTCTCGATTGTCTTGTGAGCAGCGGCTCAGAGGCGCTCATTTTTGCAACGTAACCGGTAGCCATGTGTTTCAAGGAGCAAAGAACAAAGCGATCTGCAGAGACGTCTTTTGTCACTGTTCTGCCACCATCACCGAGAAGAAAAAAAAAACTCATCGAAAGTTCGCTTATCACTCAACATCCATAGTTCGTTGTCAGAAGAGAGAAGTTTCGATGTCTTGCTATTTGACACGAAACAAATTGATTCATCTCTCCACCATCGAGGCGCTCGGAACAGCCGTATCTCGGACGGCGGCGATGGCGGCGTTCCGGTTTAACATCGCCACCACCGTCGCACCTCTTCACGTGCATCGTTCACAGGACGTTCTTGAAAGGAGAAGTCAGGGTCAAAGCTGGGGGTGGGGGGGGGGGGGGCACTGCAGCTTGGACAAAGCCAAACCAGACAGTATGGCTCCTATCGTGGGTGGAATTCGACTTTTTAGAGTATAAATCCTTCAGTTCTTCTCGAGTTACCCGTAAGCGTGAAGAGGACAGTTGCCATCAGGGAACAGGTGGTTTATGTTTATGTCAAATGATTTCACCAGTGGTCTAGACATTCTGCTGCACTTTGGATGAATTTTTGGGCGAAATATTTCTTTCACTATTATTCCTGAAAAATCGAAGCAAAGAGAAGGAAATCATAAATTTCCCAGTGTTTCTTTCCTCATTTATAGAATAAAAATTGGCCTGCTGCAGATTCAAAAACGAATTTGAAACTATTCTAAGAACGGAAATTTCAATTTTCAAGTGGTGATGTTAAAGAACAATGTCTTTACTTATTTATATGCTTTGAATTTTTGCCATTACCGCTATTTTTGATGAAACACGGCTAATCTGTTGAAGTCGCATATTACAGCTTCAGCAGGTAGCGGTAGGAATGTATTTAATATAAAAAAGTCATACGACAATTATTTCAAGGGGTACAATTTCGCTCAAATTTTCCCGTTTCAGCCGCAACTCAAGTTGCGATGGGGCGGGCGTGATCCGATCCACTGGTGCTAAAGACAGCATAGTTCTAGGAAGATTTCTGCAAACAAAGTATTACCTTTTTCTGGTCTTGTCATGCCTGAATCTCCTTTTTTCTCGAAACCTAACACAAAGTTAACAGCTTTCACAGAAACAGGTTTCATCTTTCACACTCTTCATTATTGTTCCGCTCTAATAACTGCAATCCATTCTAGCTCTTTTTTTTTGTTAATATTTTAGGTTCATACCGGAAAGTATGGCAGAAAAGTAGAGAGAGAAAGAGAGAGAGCACGGTCAGAGTACATATGGTAGGTTGCACCTGTGCTTAGCTGTGCACGAGTTCTTATGTACACAAGCGGTTGTGTGTGAATCAAGGTACACGACTCTTTGGCGACTTTATACAGGTTGTACCATTGTTGAGATGAATGGAATGGCTCAACGAAAGTACTGGACAAATTGTACGAGTTCAATAGTTTTTATCACTAAAAAAAGTAAAAAATTTGCACTGAGCACACTTTTTTCCCGCGTTAAATTCCACAGCCTCGCAAATTTGATTCGTATGCAAAAACTACTACTACAAAATCTTCCCAAGCTGTCAAACTAACACTGCCACCCTCCCCCCCCCTCGTCTCAAAAGTATATGGGTTTATCCACACATCCAAGTCGTAAATAGCGATGTAAGTACCCAGATCAGATCTGCGAAAGCATTTTGGCGTGGTCGTGAGATTGGATAGGTGTGGTCAGGTCGAGGGCCTAGCGTCAGTGCCAATAAATCGCGAGAGCCACGTATGTAAGCGTCAAATGGACCATTTAGAACGGGTGCGGGGGCAGGGTGAGGTGAGCGATAGTGGGGGGGGGGCATGAAGGGAAGGGATAAGGGGTGGAGACACATATGTATGGTAGTTGATCTGGTCAGAGGAAGGAAGTGGGAAAATCTTTGAGCAAACTTCTTTTGAAAGGTGACAATTAGCTGGAAACATATTTAACTCAAACTTTCATTACCGTTTGTAACTTCGAGAGAACTTCTGGGAAAATATATTAATATACAAATTCCAGCCTTTGCCACGTTCGGAAGAGAATTGAAGGATATAAATTGAATTTATTGAAGAACCATCATGAAACCTTTGGCAGCAAGTTCGGGGCATGCCTGACCTAATATAGAGTACACTAGCAATTCTTCAGATACATAAATATGTAAGTATAGTGATAAAATTATTGAGGTACCCATAACTTCTGAACGACAGATTCAAAGAATACAAAATTTTAATTTGATGCTAGTTCCTCAGACTAACGTTGCAAATTCGGAAAGAAATTTTCCTGGATCTCATGCTTTTTCTAGGAGACGGCAATGGGAACGATATCTTCGGCTGTCATCGAATCATAAGTTCAGTTTGGTGCTGTGCCAGATATGATTAAAACCAAACAAACTGCAATGGCTTACTAGTTGCTCAAAGTAACTACTGCCTGTGTTTACAGCTTTCATTTGCGTTTAACCTTCAATTTTGCTTTGGATCGAATTCGAGATAATAAGACAACACTCATGACAAGTAATAAATCTTTTTTGAAATTTCAAATACCTTGAACGTCATAAAACACTTTATATGCGCTGTTTGATGCCCATCTGCCAATAAAAATCGCGCCTCTACATAAAACCCGTATTTCTGCCAGTGGTGGATAGGGGACAAATTTCCTTTATACTTTATATTCTTCCAAGGAATCTCCATTATAGGTAAGCATCCACTGTAGAACATTAAAGATTGACGATCACTTCCATCAAAGTTTATCTTCAAATATACCAAAAACAAATGCAATAACGATAAGATAGTAGAAACCTGTTTCACGAGTTCAAGGTCACCCGATGCACTGGATTGCCGATAGGGCGGTGTACTGTTTGGAGCGCGGCTCTTGAAAGGATATCCAGACATGGTAAATGCCACATATAAACACTGTCGTGGTATCCATAATTGTGGGACACGAGACATCTGAGACACATATCCTTCTTAGCGGAACTTTTGAGCTTTTAGAGTTTTACGATGAGAAAGTTTTGTGTTCAAAAAAGGTAAGGAAACAGACTGTCAAGACTTAAAGGTGCCGAAAAAATCGCTTAGTATCTGGAATTCGACTGCACAATCAAAGCACATTGCTGTATAACCAAAACCACGCACTGTTTATCAGAATCTCTTTTTTGTGGTCAATTTTATGAAAATACGTATAAAAACTAACAAAATCCTGTACAGACAGATCACTTCTTATAGAATTTGCCAACAATTTTATGTTGTTATCAAAGTGGACGATAAACTTCGCACCAGAGTCTTCATAAAAATGAATATTCCAATTCAAAAAGTTTCATTACTTCATTTCGTTTTGGATAGAGAAAATGATGCGCTTCCTACTAGTACTAAACCAGAATCAGTGATGACATATCACATGTCGACACAAGTTTGAAAAAGGAACTTGCAACTGATCTTCCAAAATTCGGAATTCGATTTCAGAAAGGCCAGAAGATCCAACAAATATTAGGTTGATGCAAAAGAAATGGCCGATTTTCCAAGCCTTTTTTCAGGGCAACTTTTTTTCATCAATACTTCTTCTTTACAATGGACGTAGTATATTGTCGCGAAGCTGTTTTCATGCTCTATCTAACAGTGCTTGAAACGGGCTCTGATTCTCATCTCTTATAAAGTTACTGAGTTTCAAATAACCGCATCCAAATTCAGAATTTCATTGCATTCACTTTTCCGGCCAGAATTCAAGCGCGTATCAATGGAATTTCTTCGAAAATTTAGCTATTGTATGTAATAGAAATTTCCTACATTCTGCATACTTAGCTGCATTCTTTGAAGTTATCCAGACTGAGATATCGGCGCCTAAACATGGGTAGCTGTTGCGATCATTTTATGACCCATAATTTTCTTCTGAGGAAGTCAGTCGTCGAAACTTTGCTCAATTCTGTAAGCGTAGAGCTAGGACATTTATTAGCAGTTTTTACAAAAACATCCAGCTGTTCAGTACGTAGAAAATCAGAAAATTCTATATTCCGGACTTTGAGGCACACTGAAAAAATGTTGAAAAAAACTGGAATTTTAAATTTCAATCTTTTCTTTCTCGCAAACTTTTTTGTCCGACTTCTTTTATTGTATTTTGTACTACTGGCTTGCGGCTACAAGATAGGCCCTTGTCATTCATACTTAGAAACCTTGAAGGAAGTTTAGAACTGTCAAAGACAAGGTTCCCGCAAAAGAACCTTTTTTGTCTTTTAGTCCGTATTTCTCTTCCCGTTTATGCTTTGATATGCTTTGAGTATAAGTATGCGCTGTGTTGCGAAAGGTTTGCTGCTTCTGCGGGTCTTCAACGCATTCAGAAATGTGGATCTTTTAGAAAGTTATAGCACATCAGAGAATTCGCAAATCGGCCATTCCTTTTGCATCTACTTAATAGAATTCTAGTTCAGATAATGGTTTTACAACCAGCTCTTGTTTTCACAATTTTCTGTACTGTGAGGTTTGAGAGTTCTTTGTAAAGAAATGTTCTATATCACCAACTGAATTTATTGACTCAGTATGCATGTACCATACTGTATTGCATGTTTTGTCTCATTCTGGCGATGTGTGAATGTGTATAAAAAATAAACTGTGCTGTAGCTATAACAAAATATTTCATAAACACGGTTATAATAACCTATTACGCGAACAGATCACTTAGTTCAATCTAGATTGTGTTGAATCTGTTCGTTAATCATAGGAGATTTGCAATTTTCTTAAATTGTCCGTAACGAATGGTGTCCAAACTGGGGAGCCGTAACCTAAAATAAAACACACCGAAGGAAAGAATGCCATTTCTCAAAGAAAGTAATCGCATAACGATCTATTTACCCACTACTCGCTATCGCTACGCAATTTTTCCATAAATTCCACATCTTCCAAGATTTGTGCCTTGTCCAGCTGATAAATAACGATGGGAATATTGAATGAACGATGTTTTGACTTGCTTGGGCTTCGTCTGTTAAACAATGCCGGTGTGTCGAGAATGCTCTCTGAAACTGGATTTGCTTCAAAAAAGGTTTCCTGTTCACATTACACTGTTCAGACAATAATTACCACCTTTTCTATCCTACTACCTTTTAATAATACTGCAAATCATGAACAAGTTGCACCTAAAAACAAGCAAAAAAGTATACACCTTCCCAAGTAGGTATGCTCAAAGCTTTCTCAAAATGTAAAGGTTGTGTAGTATGTATCACCCTATCATAACAAAAAAAAAACGGTACTTTTCCATTATTCGGACCCATTTTTCAAAGAAGGATAATGCTTCATTCCTTGTACTATATCTGGTCTTAACTTCATAGTAAGAAGTGTCAACCTTTTGCCACATGTCAAAAAAATTGACATGCCATCTACATGTTTAACAAGTTTTACCAGGAGTATGTAGTTACCCTATCCAGCGACTTAAGTTCAACTTGTTTTTCAGTCAATAATGACCCCATTTTCAATTAAACACTATCAAAAATGAACATTTTCATAATATGAGGTCAACTATCAATGTACAGATTAGACTTGCCCAGTATAGAGAAGTGCGCTAAGGTTCCATCATCTAAGCGGCGGAACAAGCAGCAGTGAGGTACTTTAAGCCATCATTTATAGTCTTTCTTGGCTAAACTCGCATGGCTGAAAGTTTGAAGAGAAAGACAATCTTGAATCATTGCTAGAAGTGACCAAGATGTTCTAATAATGGTTCTAGATTGTTTTGCTCTTACAGAAAAGAGTTGCACAGCTTTTAGGTGATCACAAATGCTATTTTACCTCACCGGAAATGATCTCAAAAAAACATGTCGAAATGGATTGAAACGTGTCAAATTTTCGCTGAACTTGGCGGGGAGACACTCTCCTCTCTTAGAATTTATGAAAAATTGTTTCTAGACTGAAAAACATTCTATAAGAGCCTTTTGTGAAAATGGGTCCGGATAACGGAAAAGTGCCCAAAAACTAGAACCCATATTACGTAGAAGGCATCAGGAAGATTCAAGAATTTACTAGACAGGTTGTCACATCTAATTTGTAAGGCTATACCTATACTACTGCAATGTTGGGACCGACATGTCAATACAAAAATTGCAATCAAATGTTATAACAAACTGTAAAATCTCTAGTGAATTCGAAAAATGCAGCCGTGGAACGAGGCTTTCAACATCTGAGAGTGGATCATGAAGTTATGGATTGTGCAAGCTAATGTCAATGATTAACAATATTTTAGAAAATCAAATCAAAATAGGATTTGTCAAATAATGTTTGTGGGCAAAAATCGACTTTTGAAGCGCACATTCTCAGATGTTTTTATGATATAGTCAGTTCAAAATAGTATTCATTCAATTATAAGAGAAAAGAAAACCAACTGAAGAACCCACTATGAAAATGCTCAAAATTGTTCATCTTCTCGAGCTTCCTGTGCTCCTGCATTATCCTCTCTCGGATGAGTTCGCGAAGTAAGTCCTGAAAAACAATTATCCATTACATATGCAATGCCTTGATTCTTCTGATTCGCAGGTTTCTATTCAAAGGGAATGTTTGCAAAAACATGGTTTTTCTCAGGTCTGCTATTAGTGGTACCTATAAATACTACCTAATTTGAAATAGAGCAACTTTCTTGAAAGTAAGCGATGCGCGAAACGAGGTTTCCTCATATTGCTTCACAAACACTCCAACGGCTTCTGATTTTTGCCGATGTCAAATCATGTTTGATCTACACACCCAAAAAGAAAGATTTCAGAAAAAACTCTAGAATGATCTTTATAATCCAATAGATTTTACCGGGCATATACCTGAGTGTTATTGATGTTATCTACTTGATTGCCTCTGGCAATATGCCTTTGTCCTGCTATTCTCCTTTCAAGTGAATCCAGAGACAGTGTTCGTCTTGCCTTTGCTATCTGAAGAAAAAAAAATAACCTGTAGGTTTTAGCATGTGGAGATTTAATATTGGGTTGTTACATGTTTGTTACGCTCTGAGGAAAATTATACCCCAAAAAATTTTCTTCCTCATTTTTAAATTATGTTAACGTCGTGATTCGACATGTACATCTCACACATGAAAAAAATCGAATTTTCGAGACTTCAAAACTTTTTTCTAAATTACTTTTCGCAAAGTCTGAGTTATTGAAAGGCATAAGCTTCCGAACTGTCTTCATATTACTACTGATGCTCTCGCAAGTTGTAAAAAATTTAAAAAGAGGAGTGAAGCAGAAGAATGAGAGAAATTCTAAAAAAAATTTTTGAAAAAAGTTGGAGTGTTGATAGAAAATTGCATTTATTTTTGAAGTAATTTTTTCCGAAGGCAAAAATAATGCTGATGGGGAGCCCCATCCCTTCCCCACACATCATAAGGACGAGACTTTGCAGAATTTCGCAGAATTTTTCGGAGTAATTCAAAGAGAGTGACAAAACTTATGTAACAACCTACTATTAAATATTATAAGCATACCTCTTCCTTAATTTGGAAGTGTCTTCTCAACTCCTTTGCGCGCTCTTGAAACTCCGGAGCTGTTCTGTTTACGATTCTCGTCTTTTTTATCTCTAACTAGACTTTTGTTCATACTCTGGTCAAGCAAATTCCAAGGAACTCTTTCACCTCTTTCAGCTTTAGATCTCTGATGGTCAATTTGATCTGGTTGAATTGCCTTTCAGCCAGGAGCATTCTTTGCTGGCAAAGATGTCTGCGCCGGTCCAGTTGGTCCGAAGTCACATCTTCGTCGGAGTCATCAGGTCCCAACAGCATCGCTGCAGTTCTCCGTGATTTTGATTTGTTCCATTTTCTTTTTACTGGTGGAGGTTTACAAACAGGCTCGCTGTCAGATTCCGAGCACTCCTCCTCCAACATTTGTAAAGGACCTAAAAAATTTTAAATGACAGAAAGTTGTGGATTCGATCATCAAGTTACTGTATTAGAAGTGCACAACGCAAGCAAACAGATCAAAGCTAGATGTTTGTGCAAATTAAAGGCGAATGGTGTATGGTGTTTAGATAGGTACTCAATATCATTCACATCCTTCATAACACTGAAGTATCAGACAATTTGCATAAGCGTTACTTGACATAATCATGGCAAAGAAGTTCTCCAAGTCTCTAGAGTGTAGTTGCAAATAACCATGAATTACGTTCGCCCATAAGTTTTGCAAGAAAATCTTCAAATATTGTACATCCGTGATTTTAATCAATGTAGATCTAACGAAGCTTAAAAAGGAGAAAATTATCCGCTTTTCGAAAGTGGTTCAGGCAAAATTTCTGCTGGCATATGACGGTAGTAGAACCTGATTGAGAGGAACACCGAAATCGTAGTTTTTTGAGATTTTGCTCCGGAAATGCTAGAATGTACAAGTCGTTGTGATGATTGGATGTTTTTAGTGATAGTCGTGATTTTTGAATTTTTTTTTAAATCGATATATCACTTTTGTTTCGAACATAATTCTAATTTACATATCAATATAGAGCATCTGCTGTAAACTATAGAAAATATGAAGTAATAGCAACCGTTTGCAATAGATACATTGTTTAAAATATTTTTTGACACATTTTTAACGCACTTTTGATGAGGCCTATAAACTAAAATGAACTGAACAACTGAAACAGATTTCATTGCGAACGGTTGCTAAACAAAGATAAGATGAAAATGAATCGAAAAAAGTAGATAAGAAAAATGCCCATCTATGTAGCTGCTCTACAGGATCGGCGCAGTTCCTTCGTTTTTGTTTAGTTTTGTATTGTTTATAAATGAGCATGTTGCAGAAATTGAGATGTCGAATGATAAATTTTCGCGAGCAAGTTGATAAGGTACGTTTATTTTTTCTTTGGAGAGTCTTAGAAAATTTTTGAGGCAAGTTTGGTTTTTACTCACATGTCAGAGGATGAAAGGCTCTACCTATTAGAACGGCCATTAACGCAAATGCATTCGCCAATAAACTTACGAAAATCTAGAGCAGCTTGGATTTCACTTTTTCTGAAATTTTTTTCTGCCTGCGTTTATTATTACGTCTTCTATTTTTTCCTATTTATTCGCATGCACTTGGGGCAGCAATGCGGGGGCAGAAGTCCAGAAATGGCCTTTTTGAAAGCAATAAAAGATGAAGGAGGGCGATTTACTTGGTTCTAGATCTAAAAAGAGAGTCTCGTAGAGGGAAATCAAGTTTCAAATTGCTCATGCTCAATTGCCTTCAGGGTACTCTACCAAATTTGCAGTCCGGTCTGCATTTCTCCTATTGGATTGGCTAAAAAATAAGTTCGGTCGTTTTTAGCGGTTTGTAGAGTTGTCACAAATCAGTTTTTGTGTGTATATATGGTATCTTTGCAAAGAGCAAATTAAGAAGAATAGGATGGTTGACTCTGTTTTCTCGAAAATAATTTTTCTGATAACGAAATGGTGCAGTAAAAAATTGGTCAGATTTTTTCTGCAAAATTTCGAAAAATCACTCTCTGAAAAACGAACTGAAGTCAGGTATAAAATGTAGATTCGCTACCCACACAACAAATTTTTGAATTTCCAACCATTTGCATGGCCAGAAATGGCCAAATTCGAGTCATGTGGAATGCCCGAAATTTAGCCTTCACGCGCAAATGCCTGGAAATTTTCACAATTTTGGCTGCAGAAATTCAGAAACAGCAGGTCACAATCTCTATTGTGGTTTGCCACCCAGCCAGAGGCTGTATGTATCCAGCTACCAAATTACTCGCCTGTGTGCTCACTGCAGGCTGGAACGAACGTTGAAAGTCAAAAAAGCGATTTTTTAGAAGTCCGAACATATAAGGGTATAAGTGTCATTCTTTTATGATAGAAAACCTTTACTACTTAATATTTGAGAATAGAGGCTTGAAACTATCTTCTCACGAAAAAATCTTAACTGAATAGCTGTTACATGAGTTGTTATGATGCTTTGAATTTGCATGTCAGAACGAACTTATTTATTAGCCAACCTAATATTTACATTAATACCTATGCTGTTGTTTGTTGGGTGTACTTCCTCGTAGTAATCAAATCTTCCAGAATAATCTCTTACTCTCTTTTACTTTGTATGACATAATGGTTTGAAATGAATGAGTAGTCAAGAATACTTTCAGCGGTCTACTCTTCACATAATGGTGTGCTATAATCATTCCTTTGTGTGAGATCGAATTAATGATGTTAACTTGCTGATTACTCTCAAACTTAAAATAAAACGGTGATTGTAAGCTGCTGGATAATTGCTACCAATCGAACAGGAAGAGAGTCAGAAATGATGGTGGTAATTTGGATAAGGTTTTGCGGAAGCATGTGGGATTTCCAAATTAAAATCGAAAGAAAACGTGTAGGAGAAATATCAGCTAATCTGATACCTATTCAAGATGACTGAGATAACAGAAAGTTGCCCCATAATTTCTATCCTAGCAGGAATTGATACTGTTTTGATTTTACGGTAGACTTTGGGTGCGAAAGGGGGAAGTAAGCTTTTCACCAAAGCGTTGAAACAATCGTGAGTTAAAATTTGATAGTTTTTCACGACCCGATAATTTTTTTCCTCTGCAAAATATTCACAGATCCCCAACTTGCACTTGCACTGGTTTTATACTCTATAACTCACAATTTATGACTCCTCACTTCAGCTTTATATGTGCAGTTGCTGTACTTTTTCAACTTTAGATGTGAAAACAGACTGTAAGATATTTACCAAATCAAAGCTGGACTTTTCCACGTAGGCAGTTCCTTACCCTTTTACCGCTATAGATTTTGGAAAAACCAGAAGCTCTAGACCTCGAGTAATCAAATTTAGCTCTTTCGCGTTTTTCGTCTGATCTATTAGGTTGTCCAGAAATCAATGTCGTTTTGGATTTGAACCGCAATAAGTCATGGACTTTTTATTTCTGGATGGGTTGCAAAGTAACATTCGACAGGGCAAAGCAAGATCTACAGGATGGCAATCATGCTTTTGCACCATCTTTGATCCATCTCGAGCTTGAGGTCAAAAACTAAAACGTTTCAACTGCCTGAAAAATCGAGAAAAATCGTAACTCAGTCCATAAAAGCCCTGCAAAAATTCTGACTTACTCACATAAACGCTATCGACATAAGAAGTCTATACAGCTCGTTGGCGTATTTTCTTCTCGGTTAGAAATCAAGAAAACGAAGATTTTCATGCTTCTGCCAAAGTGAAGATGTGCTGCTCGCACATATGTAAATTATATACTACTAACCTGTAGAAGTATGAAAACAGGAATTTTCAGCTCTTCACAAGCTCTAGTTTTCGTTTTTGGGTAGATTACCCGACTCGGGAAAGTTATATTTGGTATTTCTCGAGAAGTAAAGCTTGTAGAGCGCTGAAAACTTACGTCCATAGTACCACAGGTTTTAGATATATGGCTAATACACGGTGTCCCAAAAAAATGTGCACACTGTTTGATTGGTAACAATTCTCTTGCATCAGTGTGCTTCGCCTATCTCTAACAAAGGAAGGCCATGGCTATTGGAAGTGTGCACCGCTGTTCTGTATTCTTCGGAAATGATATGAGCTTTTCTTAAGCCAAATTTTCGTGCATGCTAAGTCGCAAAATCACTATAATTCCCACACAAAACTCTTTAGGCTCAACCAAACAACTTGATAGGCATTGTGTGTTGTCATCTGAACGTTTTGGGGTGCTGTTCATACATGCTGTTATCCAAACGTCGTCATTATCCTTCTAGGTCACACTTTCATTATAAATCCAGAGAAGCCTATAACTTTCGATAAAAGAACGCTTCAGCTGTAGAAAGTTTATTCGAAATAAGAATTTTGAGCTCTGTCAATTGGGATAATACATCATTTCTTAGATACCATTTCGACTCAGCGACCTTTCCCTTGTAAGAATCTTTCCATGGGGTAGGCTTCAACTTACACAAATCTCCAATGTAATGCGATTTAGCCAACCCCTAATAGTCTGTAGGCCCATATCAGCATACAGCACCATTAGATAGGCCGATTAGTTTGAAAATTTTTCAAAAAAAATTTTGAAAAATTGCGTAGTGGGGTTCGCAGGCATACTAATCTCGACGCCAACATTTTAAAAGTTTTCTGAGCTTTTTCAATGGTGCAGTTACATTGTTGAAGAGCATGGTAAAGCAGTTATGGCTAACTTGGAATAACTTATGGACAAAGCATGATTTACAAACTTTTTATTTGAAATCAACGATTGCATTGTACCCAAATCTTGGCCTGTTCAGTGTCCTTTCTGAGGCAAAATGCGATTTTAATGGCTGAGAATCCTCTTTATGGTTCTTACCCTAATTCCTATAACGAACGGAGGTCGAAGATTTGCTCCGTACTGTAAATCTAAGTTAGAGCTAGCTCTACAAATGGTACCTGAAGGTAGGCAAAAGACAACGAAGCAGGAGAGTTACCAACAAACTTTACAAATAGAACCCATTGCTTACCGAAAAATCAGTAGAATATGAGTTACTAGCAACTGAACGGAAATAATGCAAAATTGCATAGGGACCATAGATTCACTACTATCGGACAATCAATTGATTGTTGGAACAAATCAATAAAAAATTTGATAATCAAAAAATTGGTTGAAAAAATCAGTTAAAAAATTCTTCTTCCGTGGCACTCTAAAGATGAAGTTGTTAGCCCCTAGCATTTTGACAAACGCATCGCCATTGATGATGCCGTTGAAAAAATAAAAGCTATGTATGGTTAAAATTTGACGTCACTTATACTTCAAAGAAAAACAATTAGAGCCAGCCAATGAGTAAAGCAAAAGGACATAATACATATTTCCATGTTCGGCTGTCTTTCAATCTTTGCTAAACACTATAATATAGGACATGACACAATTTAAAAATTATGAAGGGATGAATTCGAGTTGTGTAAATATGAGATGACAAAACCTCACAAAGAAAAATTAGTCGTATGTTGATGTTTAGATTGATAGTTCTAAATTTTTTCAAGAAAAAGTTCCAAGTTTCCAAAAATTCAAACAATACTAATTGCAACATTGTGAAGTTGATGCAGTGAGGAATCTGATAATAGGAAACGTTAGGTCGAAAATGTGAAGGCTAAAACTGTGATAGATAGCGATGCCTGCAAAATAAACGAATTTATTGGTGATTACGAGCAATCCGATTTTAGTTGCTAAGGTAATTCACTATGGCAACAATCTCGAATAATAGAATTCATATCACGAAAGCCTTTGCAGAAATCTGCCTTCTCGATCCACAGTCCTTGCATTTCGTAATAGATACATCCTTTGTATAACCAAATGCAAGTTTCAAATCTCCAGAAGTAGACTGTACTAAAAGAGTTTAATCAGCAGTCTTGACGAAAACGCATCATATCATTAAACCTTCCACATTCTTTCAAAAGATCTCATAACTGGTTTTATAATCGTATTTCAGAAGCTTGAAATTACATTATCCGCACCCTAATGCTAATTGTATGTGAGTACTAATGTTTGAAGAGCACAGAATGTTAAGGTGCTGTTATTAGAGTCTGATTCGCGTGAGTAGTAGCAAATCCATGCGAAATCCGGAAAGTAACCATAAGGTTGGAAAATTATTGGAAATTGAAAATTGACTTTGAAAAAGTAAGAAAACCGCTTTAATTTGTATACACCACGAATTTCCACGATGTAAAATATATTTTTCAGTATTTTGCAATATATGCTAGAGATTTTCTGACCAAAACTAACATTTCAGAAATAATTCGAAAATTGTAATTTTTCAACAAAAAAAGGCTTCCACTCGACGCACTTACACTTCCCTTAAAGAATTGTGTGTGATTCTACCTGACCACTTAATCTTATATATAAAGCTGAATGTCTGTTTGTCTGTCTGTATGTCTGTATGTCTGTCTGTCTGTATGTATGTACGTATGTTCCGAATACAAATTTTTATTTCTGAACCGATCGGGACCAAACTTGGCACACATATACTTCAGGGCAGGGAGCGTGTCATAGGCTACTTTTCGTTATCGATCGATATCGATTTTATTGATTTTTTGCAAAATTCGAGCTAGAGGGCTGGGATTTGGCAGAGGGGGGTAATCGAGCATGCTGATCACCCCGAAGGGATGATCAGCATGCTCGATTACCCCCCTGTGCAAAATCCTAGCCCCCTAGCTCAAATTTTGCAAAAAATCGGTAAAATCGACATCGATCGATAACGAAAAGTGGGCTGTGACACGCTCCCTGCCCCGAAGTGTATGTGTGCAAAGTTCGGTCCCAATCGGTTCAGAGATAAAAATTTCTATTCGGAACATACGTACACGGGTCTAGCTGGCAGGCCCGGCGGAGCCGGGCAAGCCAGCTAGTGGTGATTATACCTAACCACATACATCAATTAACACATTTTGCTCCGTGGCACACGATATAACCTTGCCCCGAAACGGGAAATTCTACCTAAATCACTATCAGTACAGCATTTTGACCGACAATTAAAAAAAAAAAGAGATTGGGGTGTAGTTTTCATACGCTTGATTTACATAATATGGCAACTATTATTTTTGCATTAAGCACTATTAACATTGCACAGTTTCTCCCTCTGAATTATTATCTTACCAAACAAATTCATTGGGAGGAAATTTTCGAAACTTTTGGTACAAGTCTTGTATTACAGCCTCATGTGTGGGAATGCAGATTCAAGTAAAATTCTCCGTTTTCAAGCAAGTTCATATTGTGCATTGTTCGTAAGATCCGTTTCTTTCTGGGATTCTTCTAAATCACTTTCGTTACCGAAGTGATGTGTACCGAACATATTTCCTGAGTCTTACCTGAGCTGTCTAAAAGTGCACTGATAAATCTCTACAAAATACATTTTATTGACTTCAGAACACCTCTTTTCAAGAATTTGAGAATCGAAACAATCAGACCAGCATTTCCAAGTAAAGCAAAAATGGAACTTTATACCTTCATAATTTGCTCTGTGACTGAATGAACTCATAGCCTTTCTAAACCCCTACAGGCTGAGGTGGCAAAATTTGCATTATCATGAAGGTCTAGTTGCATTCGCAGAATTTGTTCCTTCACGAAATGAGAAAATGTATTTGCGGAAGATATCTGCGTGCGAGCAAAATGATCTTATGTTCAAAAATCATTTACTGGGCCCCAGGTAAGCAAAATCTTCCAGATAAAAACAATTCTCTAATCATGAGACATGCAGAAGAGTATTTAGTTAGAACGGGTTAGTTTATCTAGTTAGAACGGGTTAAGATAGATATAAATCTTCTTTAGAAGACATTTTCCAATCCCAAGGGCTCCCTTAGAAAGGCCAAAATTACAACAATTTCCGGTATGCTGCCTCAACCACGTATTTGAAAAATCAAAAATCCTCTTCGAATGAATCAAACGATGAATCAAACGCATACTTAATCAGTCCTCAAGCCCGTCTAGTTTCCTTCTGGCACCCAAGGAAACACACGCCGGTAATTTTGGCACTGTATATACTTAATCAAAGAAAATTGGTTTTCCTGTTGTGCAGACCTGATTTCAAATTTACTAATCTGGGATAATGTTGAAGAAATCTTTCACCGTCCAAAGAATTAGGAAAACGAGAAAATCATTGTGCTATTTATTCGTCATTCAACTCATACTACCGTATTATATAAGTGAGCAATGATGAGGTTTGTGAGCGAATCAAAGACTTGGTAAGTATGCTTAGAAAGATATTGCAGTAGTAAAATGCAGTATATGTACTTGCCACAACTCAACAAAAACCTATCTAAAACTACTGAGAAGGTTATGATGAGGTAAATTCAGCTAAACGAGATAGACGAAATGCATTTGATAGAAGAAGTTTCGCAAAGGAATACGTACTATTATGCCTGACCATTACGAAACTCAGACTATCAAAATAGCAAATGAAGATGCATAAACTACTTCAGACTGGTCAAAGCCTCAGGGAAAGAAATGAAATGTTACAGGAGATTATAAAGATCTGAACGAGAAAAATAACTTGGTTCAATGTAAAGTATGCTCGTTAGAAAAAGGTGCAAATCAACAACAATATAACTCGAGCTCAAAACTGGTAATAATCGGGTAAAAAAAAGAAAAAAAAAGAGCTTCGAAATTATACAAAACAGGCCTAATGCCATCGCTATGAATCATTACAGTCCCTTGTTGCAATAAACTGTCGTTGGTGGATTTGGCAAAGCGTTGATTTTTGCTTGAAGTTCTGGTTCAAGTTTTGATACTTGGACTGGAGTCATCTGAGGGAAGAAGGCACAGCCGACTGGTGTCGAGACTAGGAGGATCAGACCACAGAGGACAGTTTGGAGGGGTCCGAAGAGGTGAGGACGCAGCTGAAATCAAGATGTTTTAAAGGTAAAGCCATACCAAACACAGCTGTATACTACAGTAAAGTGGTTTGAATAACTGAGCAGAAAGAAAAATTTTTGAAAAAATGTTTGGGGCAAATTACCTTGAAATATGGTTTCTTCTCTAGCGCATTGACAATTACAGGAATCAGAGCTAAATTAATGCTATTATACCCACCACACAGACATTTTCCTCATCTTTTACTCACCAAATGTCGGCGTAGCCATTCCTATACGGGATATGACGACTTGTGTGATTGCAGACCGTGCAACATGCTTGCTTTGCCCAAGCTTGTTACCGTCCGCATCCACGATGTCAATACCGTCGCGCAATTCGCTAAGATCTTTTGGTTCAGAACATTTTAGAGCAAATTATTCAGAAAACTCACCCCCTTCGCATCATTGGAATATTGATGGCATTAGCAACACACACGGCAAAGAAAGGTACAAGTCGTCCAATTAGAGGTGGAGCGGTCTAAACAAAAAAAAATTATCAAAAATAATTTTAACATTTTTATTTTTTTCGTGCCAACGAAACTAAAGGTAGAATTTTTAGTTTGTCTGTGGGACCTTCGCATGCTGGTTATTAAAATTTTGAATTATAAAGATATGCGTGCAAATTTCTCAAATTTCTTTGTATTTTCCACTGCGAGGTTCCTCGGCCACTTGATTGTGCTAGTACTACTATAAAGTTTATTTTCCCAAAGATTTTCTCGCTGATATCACACTGCCAAGGTGACTACTCTGTTTGCTTTTCTGTGTAGTATGTGATTCACTCAAGCACACTCGGATATTTATGACTTTCATACTGGAACATATTCCTTTAGGAGAACTGCAAAAAAAATTTTTGCTAGTTGTTTTTCTGGAGCCAAAGACCACTTCAATTCTGAATGAACGGAACACATCCTGTGCAGCTTCCTTTACATTATAGGCTGCAAATTAGTACTTATACCCATACCCTGGCTGTGAGGAGCGGACCGAAGAGCTTTCCGAAAGTATTTGAGAATAGTGTTGCCATGATTTGGTTAAGAGAAGGCAGTGTTCCAAAGTAGAATGCTACTATTATCATACATTTTTGTTACGGATTTCTGTCAAATTCGTCATCAAAAACATTGGAAAGCAAGAATTCGTCTTGAAAAATCAAAAACCAGACGAAGACTAGGATGAACATCTACTTGAAGGCAACAATGTGTGCAAATTAAGCAAAATGTTTTCGTAAAGGTGCATATGGAAAATTTCAATCAAAGCATGTATCAGTGGAAAGTAGAATTCATCCCAGTCGACATTTACCAGAATTAGTCTATGGAGAAAGAGAAGTATAGTCCTTGGATGCCGCTACTATTTTCCAAGTGCTCCGCATGTACCGCTCCCTCCCGTCGCTGAAGAGATACGGTAGAAATTTTTATACCACATTAACTCTATTATGACTTAGCATTACAAAAAAATTCACATCTTAAAACATAAGTAATGCGCTTTACGCGAGCGTTTTGTTGTGACAAAGCAAGTAATAGAGTTTTCAGATTCTTTGATACTTTTGCGGAGCAAAAAAATGACTCCCACTGGCGTAAATGCCACCTGCAACGCCCTACATTAATCTGTTAAGTTGGTTCAAAAGTCTTACACAAGAAAGTTGACAATCTCGTTCACTTTGCGAAAGCTCTTAACTTCCATCGAACGCTCTTTGTGATGCACAAAATGTTCTATCTCAATAAGTATTACATTTTAGGGTTTCTGTAAGGAACAAAAAAAAAGTGTTAACCAAAACAAATCAAAAATCATGACTCTTCGTAAACAAATCCGATGAGAACAAGGTTCTCATGATCAAAAAGTGTAAGCTGCGGAGCCACAATCAAAAGTGAAGTCGAAGTTTATTCAGCGGCTTGTAGCTCCGTTATAAGATAACATAGATTTTTGCTTAAACCAGATAAGAAAGTGCTTGAATTTTACTTTCTCTAATGTTAGGTTGGAAAGAAAAGAATATCGCTTTTTCCCCATCATGGCATCGCAACAAGACAAATCCCAGAAACGTGTGTGGGATGACATTCGGTAGAGCAAAACAATCTACAGAATGGCATCACTGCTTTTCCACCAAGTTCAGATTATGTGCAGTTCGAAGACGGAATCTAAAAGTTTCAAATGAGCGAAAAATCAAAAAAAAATTCGCAACTTTATCCGAAAATTTTCTACAGACCTCAACTTCTCACAGACATACATCCCTCATCAAATTTTCATATGCGCAATTCTGCAATTTTCTTTTGGCTAGACATGAAAAAAGCGAAAATTTCTTGTTTCTGCCGATGCCGGGCTGTTCCCTCGTAAGTAATTCTATACTACTCAGCTGGGGAAGTACAAACGTAGTTTTTCAGCCTTTTACAAAAGTTAGTTCTCGAGAAATATCGAATTTAGCCCCTTTTCTTCTGTTCTTTGGATCAAATCTGAAATTTCTAGAGGAGTAACTCTAGTAAAAGGAGAAATCTACGGTCATACATCCCAAGTTAAGTAGTGTAGAAATAATTCGCGGAAATAGTCCAGCATCACTTGGGCAGAAGCATGGAAATTTCTCAATTTCCGATGTCTAGCCAAGGAAGAATTACAACAACTGCGCTATGAATACTCGATGAGTGATGTAGGACCATGAGCTTGGCGGGCTGCAGATTTTGATTTTTGAATTATACGAAACTTTTTAGATTCCGTCTTAGAATTCCACATGGATATAACTTGGCGCAAAAGCAGTAATGCCTTTTTGTAGAGCTTGTTTTGCATTATTGATAGTGTTCCGTATACGTTTCTGGGATTTGTCTCGTTGCGATGCCATGACAAGTAAATTGATAGCGATATTCTTTTTTTTTCAACCTAATACATTTGATCAAGTTGATGCAGCCCTTCGATGTGGTACATTGGAGAAAACTGTAGACTCTAGGACAAAGTTATATGCTAACCATCAACAGTGTACACATACTTTAGGCATAGTGTGTAATTCTGGGTAATTACTCAATAAGTTCCAGTCAACACACTTTCTCCCCTCTTGCGTAATCTTCCCCCCAACACGGTCTCACCAGTAATGAAACAAGCTCCAGCTGTCAAAATTATTGTTTGCTCTGATCAGTTTCTGCTCGAATAGGTAAGGGGCCCCCGCTCTCAACGGCCCACTGTGCGTAAGCCATGCATACACGAGCGGCTGGTCGCGGGAGCAGCGCATAGTGCTTGCCATTCATTCAAATGTGCAGCTGTCATATACGTAAACGAAGTCATGCATTTAGCCGTGGGTTTTATGAGAGGAGACGGGAAATGAATGCATAAAGTTCGAATAAAATTCGCTAGTACCTTCACCAAAGAGTTCAGTCCCAAAGCGGCGACGAGCGCTCCACCAGTGGCGGCGAAGTAGGATTGAACTAACTAAAAGAAGATTATATACAGTACTCCTTTACTCCTTTCAATGGAATTCTCCCAGCGGAAGAGTGGAGTATAGATAGTTTAATATCGACACATGAATCATTCGTCTCATATCTTTACAAAACGATAAAAAGTTGTTTTGCTGTCAGACCTCATTGGTATCGCTACCCTCACCGGACCGGTTCGTATAGTTGACAACGGCGTTGAAAGACTGGTTAAGCCATTGCCAGAAGATTACCGCTGCTGGTGATCTGTAATGTGATTTTTCCATTGAAAAAAAGTCGCTTGTTGAATACGAATTTGTGGCTTATGCATAAAGATTATATGTATTATAAACTATGCAAAAGTTGAATGAAAAAGATGAATAAACAGATTGTGTTACCCATTTTACGACAAGAAGGTAAGCTGCCAAAACGTCATCAACATTTAAAATTTTGAGTAAAGCTCAAGTAACGCTGAAAACTGGTTATATGCTACGACATATTCATTTATTCCACTTGAAGTGACTCAGAAAAAAGTCACAAATAAAATGCAGAGTGGTATTTTTTGGCTTTGACTTTGACTTCTTGTCTGAACATCACTTACCTAATGGGTTATGGTGCGCAAAAAAGATTGCATGATTTTTACAAAAAATAAACCATTTTCAAGAATTCTTATTCGTGTTCATTCGCACAGTGATCTTGAATATAAGACGGTTGAAAAGTGATTGCTTACAGTATTACAAGTAGATATAACATTACTCAGACATGGCATCTATACAATTGTATTACAAAAAAAATCCAAGTGGTAGCTAACGATCCCTTTCTATTCTAAACTTGTTATTTGGGAGTTGGACTCGAGCAGTTAATGAACATTTTATTATTCTGTTTTGTTATTATTGTCCATTACTGTTCACGTTCTAAGTGTTTTCGTTTTCTTTGTTCCAAACGCAAAATGCCTTGTGCGTATCAAAAAAAATAAAACAACTTATTGAAAAATTACTTTGTTGGTTAAATTTGTAATTCAAGCTATTGACATAACTATCAACAAACAATAGCAAAGATGACATCTTCTTCCTTTTTTTTTAGATTTATCGCTAAAAGGCGTCCTCCAGTCACACATTTTCAACTAGCTCTCCACCCCTCTCTTCCCCCCCCCCCCCTTCTCGTCTCTGTCTCTTGTATATCCGAGACATTTCGAACACTAATAACAACAGCTCGTTCAGACTGCAGAATGTAATGCACTCTGCTGCTCGGGCATCGTATTTCATACGGATCTGAGGTGTAACATCAAGGTGCGCAAATCGAATCACTAGATGCACCAAATGATATCCGATCCGACGACAAGCGAGATGTGGTGCAAGCACGGAGCCATTGCTACTTGTATTTCTCTCGTATGTTAGTCAGCTGTAGTTTTTTTTAGCCCCCAGAACCATCACATAACATTTACCATTCTCTTATTAGGTTGATAAGGAAGTTTTCGGACATTGAATGCGCTATCTCTCGGAATTTAACGCATGCGCATGAGCAGAACATTGCAGTTGTACTCTCGCGCTAATGTAACTAGCATTTGAGCAAGTGGGAGGAGTCTAGGATCAATGGAGGTGGAGTTTGCCACCTTTCAATGAGCTACAGAGTTCTATGTTGCCCGTGCATGTAAGTATGTAAGCATAGTATTTGTCTAATATAATTGTGAGTATGTGGAAATGTCTTAACATTTGTGGAAATAGGAGATCTGGCTTAAATCATTCTGTGTTTTCAAATTTTTGTCTGTACTTTTAATGGGAACTCTTAATAATGCTCATGCTCATCACAGTATTGTAGATACCGCCTTCCCTATCTTATATATAAAGCTGAATGTCTGTTTGTATGTATGTACAGGGCTCGGCACGAGGTGGCTTGCAAGGAAGCTGGATATCGTTTTTGGGACAAAAAGCAAAGGGGGTTTCGTTTTTGTGACCGAAGAGAGACGCGAAATTGGCGATTTGGCGACGTTTTTTTTAGTCGACGTTTCGTTTTTGGGGGGATTTTGGGGAAATTTGGTTGAGGGTCAAAGGGGACTTCGTAAAAATTCCCAAAAGTCAAGGGGGACTTCGTTTTTTCCATTTTCATCTAGCCACCTCGTGCCGAGCCCTGTGTATGTATGTCTGTCTGTCTGTATGTCTGTGTGTACGTATGTTCCGAATAGAAAATTCCATTTCTGAACCGATCCGGACCAACTTGGCACACATACACTTCGGGCCCCGGCGGGTGTCATAGGCTACTCTTCGTATCGATCGATATTGATTTTATCGATTTTTTGCAAAATTTGAGCTACGGGGCTGGGAGTTGGCACGAGCATGGGGATTCCGAATACAATATTAGTGCCAAGTTTGGTCCGGATCGGTTAAGAAAGGGAATTTTCTATTCGGAACATACGGCGGAGCCGGGTAAGCCAGCTAGTAGGTAATAATGACAGGGCCGAGCGGAGCCGGGTAAGTCAACTAGTCCAATGATATGCAGCATGCCCCCATTGGGCTAACAAAAACTCTATCGAAAATACTCGAGAATACCTTTACCTTCAAAAAATATAGGAATTGCCTAGAATAAAAAGGTCAAGATTTGTAATGCTCTACGAGCGTTTTTTGGAGAATATAACAGCTGCGTTTTGTTTCAGCCAACATTAACATGGCACTAAGTGGGAGTACGCAAAACAGCAAGAAACAACTGAAAACTCAACCTTGTCATGTAGTCTATTTTGGGCAAGTCATGCGGTAGAGCACTTTTTATCAATTCCTTTTGTTTTGTTTTTTTTTTGCAATTTCCACATCCACTATGTGCAGCTTTCATGGTGAGATAGGTGCGTGATAGGTATTTCTTTGTAAATAAAACCTTTTCCATCCAACAGCAAATTTGAATTCAGTTCTATCGTCAAGCCTCAAATAGCCTTTTGCCCTACATCAAATTTTCTTATTATGCATTTGCAAGATCACTCATTCTGCACGTATCGCAGACTTTTTCCTGAAAATTGAGGGTGAATGCGAATTCAACCCTTCAATGAAAAAACATTTCTCTGATTATCTCATTTGCTGCATACAAAGTGAGTGTATTTTACGTGTTTTCTTTTTTCCTTCTGAGTATACGAACTACTATCGGACAGAGAAAATTCTGTTGCCGGCAACTCCTCCACAAGCAACTGGTACAACTGTTATCGTGCATTGAAAATTTGTGGTAGATGTCCTAGCGGGGCAACCTCTCTAGTAAAACTATGAGAAACACAACCTACTTGTAAAATGTCAGCATTCCACCCGTAATAGCCATATTCATCGGTACTTGTGCCGACATCCTTCCAATGATGAACATTTTCTCTCCAGTCGTAGGGTGAAAGGCAGAGTCGACCACGTGTTTAGCTTTCCATAACTCATTTACCGTCAAATTTTCGGGTGTTTCACCTTTCCTAAAAATAGAAGTAGGTTTATAGGAATCTTCCAAGGGAATTCTTCCCCCTTCCCATTTCATTTTTGATGGATTCTGTCAATATCGACGCTGAATAAACACTTCACTTGTCTGCGTCAAACCGTACTTCAAACCAAATTTATTGATTTATGTATATAACCAAAATTTGAGATGAAAATTACTATTTTACGAGAGAGACGAAAGCTGTGCCTACCTGTAATCGTCAACTATTCGCTTGTATCTTTTTAGCTGCGCGTTGGTGTTGAAGAGATTCAGAGGGTTCGTTATGGCGAAAAAGTGCTGAAAATACTTAGCATAACAGTATTGCTTGAAAACTTCAAGATATCAACAGATAATACCCTAGACCTGCCCTCGAAAGTGCTCTGATCCCATCTAGGCTTTGAGATGTCCGGCTTCAGCACCAACGACCTCACCAATTCGGACATTCTTCAAACGATATTGGCATGAGAGTACCAAACGACAAGTCTATTGCTTGTATCAAACATCGAACAGAGCTAAGCGGTTGAACTAGGTGGCTGTCAGCGATCCATGATGGCAAAGGCAGTTGCAAATGGCCGAGAGTCGATTAGATAGCAACTGATTTGATAACGGGGCCCCGGCGCTAACCTCTCGAAGTGACATTGTGTCTCTATGTTGAAAACGTATCGTACTAGCTCACGAGGAAGAGAATGAAGTGATCTGCTCGTAAGCTGAAGAAATCACATGAATTTGCAAGTTGTAGTGCAAAAAAAACGTAATAATACATTCCCACAACGGCATTTACCGTAACTCGTTACCGTAATCCCTAACGATTGGATCAGATCGCACCTAGGATAGCAGGGTAGCAGATTTCAAAACCACGTCTGTTCACCCCCTTTGCTCTCTCTTTGTCCGTCCATCACTTTTACAAGTCTTCCTCACAGAATTTATAACTACAACACCCAGAAAGTCGTAAACTCGGATCTGTCTCGTTGTGGAACGACCAGATGTAAGAAGATTGAAGTGAGAACTTCGCTGTGAACCAGCATAAACTTTGAACGGATAGTATAACTGTGAGAAATCCGGTTTAGATAGAATAATGTAAGCAAAGGTGTAAGGGTGCTTAAGATTTCTCGCACAGTTCAGGAAAAATAAAAAAGTGACATTTTCGCTACCTGAGTTTAATAGTAAACTTCCTCACTTCACAGCTGCGAAATCTTCAGAAAGCACAATGAGTTCTTAGAAAATTGTTTTGCCACCAGAACAAAGACTTAGTTTTTTGTGCTCTACACTCACGCTCATTGTATACCTTGTACTTACGCTAGCTCTTAGCTCGTAACCATTTGCTTTAAATTAGATTCCAGAGACTCGTATAAAAAACCCTGTGTCATTTGAGCGAAATGGAAGGCGAACACGATTGTCAGGAGTTTTTGTGAAAGTTGTTTCGGATAGCAAATTGAGTAGAAACATGCACATAGGCTTTCGGAATAAATGAGATCTATTTAGAGCCATAGGAATGCAGAGATGTTATATCTATTCGTACATATTAAAGTTTGTAGAATCCTCGAAGCAACTTTCAAATAATTCTGATAGTATATGCAACAATAGCGAATATATAAGTTGTGAAATAGGCAAAAAGGGAGGATTGGTATTTCAATATCTTAAAAAGAATTTTTTCGTTCATGATCCATTCCTATATGAGACAACAAAGCGCAGGTGATTTCAATCTGCGCTATGCTATCGGAGTTTTTCCTACAAGATCCCTTCCTTAAGGATAACTGTTCCAGATGCTATAAACGAAAACTGAACGCCTGCAAAGTTTTTGTTTGACACTGGGATTTCTTATCGCTCTAACCCATCAATTCCCAATTCATGTACGGAAACAGAAAAGTGCACATCATTCGGAGTTTTTCTAACTCACGAGATTAGAAGTAGTAAAAATTGACAAATGAAACCGTCACGATTTCAACAACCCCTGTCATTTTTTTTGAGACAGTATGCGGGATTGACTTGGACCTGAATGTTAAGAAGCCTACGGAGTCACACATTCAAATGGCCATTAACGCTGAAATGTTCAACAAAAAGCGCAATAAACGCGATGCTATAAAATTCCAAAATGGCCTAGCAAGATCCGGCTTCGGCAGAGTGCGATGAATTTGTAGAACTGACTACAGAAGTATTACGTTTTGGAAAAGATGCGAGAAGGCGCTGCTCCAACGTGATAAACGGAACAGTGAGAAAAGATAAAAAACAATTAGTTAGAGTGGTCCAGCAATTCTAGCCAATAGCTCTTATGTCATTCATTACTGGCTTCAGCCTTCCAATCATCTCCGCGAAACAATTCTTCTGCTAAACCTTCCACGACACCACTATAATTCCAAACAAGGACAAACTTTTTTCGCTTTAATGTCGTAGCGAACTGGCGAAGGCTGCGACTAGCCTTTTATTGCCATTTTATGACCAATAACGCAAAGAATCGCACCGACTGGATAGGAGTTCTCTCAAAATAGTCAGAGACGGGAAAATGCACGAGTTAGCGCTAAAATTTGCTATTTGACGAAGCGAATCGCTAGAAAATGCTTGGTAAAAGTTAGTTGAGTCCTGAATTAGCTGAAACTGTGACTGTTTGGAATGATAATGGCACGGATCGCTCCGAGGGCGGGTACGACTCCAAGTTTTCGTACGCGGGGGCGCCTACAACCAGAAACCCGTCCGCTTGCGCCCCGCTCCCCGCTCTGACGTCGACTCCGCACGTGGTTAGTGCACACTCACGGCTTGGTCGCGTTCAGACCGAACTCGCGACGATCCGCGAGCGGCAAAGCTTTGACTCTTGAACCTGTTTTTTGTGTTCACACAACAATAATCCGTTCTTCTAGCAGCTGTTCTTTGTTTTAGGTCGAAAAATGTTGCGAATTTTCGGCTGACGTAACTTGTTTCAGTGTCTTTGCGGGGGAAAAATTACTGCGAAAATCTGCCAACATAAGAGGAACTTCCAAGTTAATTTGCAAAAAAAATTGACTTTTGTTCTGGTAAAATTTTGCTATTTATTTAGAGTTGGCAGCTTTGGAGTTTTTTTTTTGTTTTTAGAACCCATTATCCATGCTAGATTTCAGCATAATATAGATAATCATTCATGATACTCATTTCAAAGTAGTTAATAATGTCTTAATCATTAAAGAACCTCTTTGACTTTTAATTCAAAAAAATTTTTTTTTCGTTTTTGTCCATTTTTGTCCAATATTTTTGCAAAGAAATCTCCACCCAAAATTTTGAATACCAATCATTCATCAATATAAACTCATAGCTTAGCATCTTCCTAATTCAAACAACTATGAAAAATTATCTTCATAAAAGTTAGACGCAGCGAAATGCCTGGACTTTATCTAAGTTATTTCTTTGCATATTTATAAAACATTCTGTCGTGGGGTCAAACTACCACTGATATCACATGCTGGCAGATTATCGTTAAGAAAATCCTTAAAGATTATTATTAACGCATTACCCCTGTTTATTTACCCATTCATTTATCTAATTTCCTTATTTGTTTGGTGCACCTATGCGTGCATCCATCTGATGGATAGAAGGATAAAAATAATTGCAACGTACAAATTTCGTCATATCATAGAAGGAACGATACGCCACTAACATGGATCTCCATGACCTTCAATTACGCCGATAGCGCAAGCGTAATTATAACTCTGTCATATCAGATGTTTGCGATCCGGTAAAACTGAAATTTGGCAAAAAATAGTGAATGAAGTCGTTTTCATATTTATTACGAGAGTTCAGCCTTATGTTAGGCGCCCAAACTCACTCTCAGCAAAGAGTTTTTGTAGTCTTTACTTAGCAGGTCGAAAGTGTATGACTACTTGGCAAAGACAGACTCGAAATTTCGCAGAAAAAACAGAGCCCATAAAAACTTATAATGCATCACATAATACTCAATAAGCTCACATTCCAGAAATGATTATCACAAAGTGCAAAACGCATGAGATACGATGACGGAAATTGTTGTGAGACGTAGTACGTATAGCAATAACAGTTGGTGCTCGTAGTCTTACGCTCGACGGACGCACGGACGCTCGGAGACGCATGGGGTGCGTTTGCCACTATGGATCCATTAAGTTGCGATCGGTCACTCTTTACCCAGGTCGACGGGTAACAGCTGGTTGGCGAGTTCTATTAGTTCCGGTAAATTATTGAGGTCCTGCTTTTACTTCTTCGTTCTTCAGTACTTTTTGTTTACAAAAGGTCCCATATTTTTAGTGCTTATTCATAAGCTATTGTTCCCTTAACGTCACTATTTGCGCATGAGTTGTCCCTAAGTCAAAAAGCTGCCCTCCCCCTCTTTTCCCATGCTGAATCACAATACGCATGCCTGCTGCTCCAGCCCATTTCCCAGAGATTTTTCCTTGGAATTTCCCCTTTTGCAAATGTCATTTTGTGCCGAAGCAAAAGTTTTCTCGCATAACACTTAAACATGATTTATTGAGCATTTTCCATGTGCTTTCGTGCCACAATGGGCTACGACGGCTGTCCGCCATTATTATCGATCTGTTTTGCATGAAACGGTCCGCGTAAAGCGAGGTCGACTGTGTCGATGACCACCCAGGGAGGATTTTTGTAGATCAGCTTTGATCTGCGGAGAGAGTAGCCTGTTGCTTTGAGCGTTATTAGGTAGCATTTTGTAACATTCCCTTCATTCTTTCCTAGAAGGAAAAATTCTGCTTAAAGATGTACACATTTTCTTCCTATCTTTAATTTTCATACAGAGTAATTTTTTGTATTCGTAATTCGAATTCATGCTATAGACAACCGTTCTAGCAATTACCGGAATGTTAGTTTGCTTTAAATCAAATTATTGTGCATATCAGTTCTGGTTTCTTTACATTTCATAAAAACTTCACAACTTCTCTTGATATTCGATTTCCCGCAATCTTCTCTTGTTCGAGTTTGGCAGCATTTATTAAGGTCCAAGAATTTTCACAAGTTGTCAGCACATTACTTCTGCGCCTGTACTGTGCAATTAATCTCTGAATCTCTCATAATTTATCTATAGTTAGTTGGAAGATAATAATAGCTGCAGTATCGCTGAAGATAAATTAGCTGCTTAAAGTATTATGAATTGATTAAGCAAATTCTTCGTTTACAAAAACATTCAGTACTTTCAGCTGTCGTTGCGCTCACTTGAAAGTTCTTTCGCACTCATCAAATTACATTTTCGTACTAGTTCCTACAATGCTAAGTGCTCTCACGCGCGCGCTTCTCTCATGCTTTCACTCCTGAATATACAATTTCTTAGCTAGCATTCGATTTTAACATTGCGAAATCTTAGTCAGGAAGAGCTGACTTTGTGGCTAGCTTTTCTGATGTTAGGTATAACTGTGAGAACCCTAAGCTGGTTTATGTCCTCAAAGTAGGTCAATGCTTAGATCGGACTTTTTCCCCCACAGTACTTTTCCGCCAACGTCCCTGTGTGTATAGGCTTCCCTAAAAGTCGTTAGGGCCCCCAATTTTATTGCTTTTATATCTTCGATACACAGTTCTGAAGTTAGGAACTAGTCCTATGTGAAAAGCGGCCTTTTCTCAATTGCCAAGTGTTCTTCTGGTTCTCGGAACGACCGCTTTTGACGATATCGTTTCTGACGACGCCGTCTCTGATTGTTTTCTCTATCGTTTGCTCATACTTTCCTATCGCAATTGCAAATTTATCATATTCGTCTGCTAGCCAT